AGGTGCTCAGAAATGAGTCAGATTTTAAAAAAAATATTAACAGAATCACATGGTAGGTGGGGTGAGGGTGTAAAGTAAGAGAATGGGGAAGAGTCTCAGTGTGAAAGACATTCCTGAGAATTCCTCAAACCAATGCCACATTCAAGTGTGACAAGTGTCTCTTGAGGTTGTCGGCACCGCTGGTCCTTGTAGCCGTTGGGCCAGAGGGCACTTTCCTCACTGAGCCCTGGATGAAGTCATTGGATGTATCCCAAATAACAAATCAACTTGAATCTTACAAAGATATCAAGAAGCAAGATGTTCACACAATGATGAGCAAATTCCCTTCTTACATCCTGTGTTCCTTTGGGACATGGGCACACACACACGCCTGGACACACACGCGCGCGCATGCACACACAACAGCATGCTTTGTGGATAACTGCCCTTTTTCTTTCTTTCTTTTCTACGAGCAAGTAGAGCTACTTGCAAAAGTTTAAAAAATGGAAGTCCGGCATCCTCAAGGTTATCAGCTTAAGGGATCCCTGGGTGGCGCAGCGGTTTAGCGCCTGCCTTTGGCCCGGGGCGCGATCCTGGAGACCCAGGATCGAATCCCATGTTGGGCTCCTGGTGCATGGAGCCTGCTTCTCCCTCTGCCTGTGTCTCTGCCTCTCTCTCTCATTAAAAAAAAAAAGAAAAAAAAATGTTATCAGCTTAAGCCGGGGCGTGGAGAGCAAATGAGGGTTTCAAGGGAACCGCCTTGGAGGCTGGGCCCCCATGAGCTTTTCGCCAGCAGGTCTACCCAAGAGCAGGCCCAGGCAGCGGAGACCATCCTCCCAGCCTCTTCCTGAGGCACCCGCTGCCCCTAGTCCCCACTGGAGGGACACTCCTGAATACTGGTTTCCAGAACTAATCTAAAGATTGAGTAATCCTGTTGCAATCCTGTTGCAGATGGGTGGTTTCCACTTTGTTGCTTTCTACAAATGTGCGAAAGGTCAAATGGACTTGTCGGCGGACAGATCAGCAAAAATAGTTCTTGATGACAGATGGCCATCTGATTTCTGCCCCATTACTCAAGGGTTTAAAATTTGAGTGACATGGCGATCAGGACATGTAAACTCCTCGTTGCTTATTTATGTAAAAAAGGCTTCTCTAGCTTACATCTACCAAAATAAGAATGGAAGTGACAACAAATTTGGTCTCCTTCTAGAAAAAGTTCCATCACTCAAGGATACATGAATGAATGAGGGGTGAAGTGGAACTCGCATTCACATCATCAAGAGATGTATTTCCAGGGAAATAAAAACCATAGTAAGGGGCGCCTGGGTGGCTCAGTCGGTTAAGCATCCGACCTCGGCTCAGGTCATGATCTTGGGATCCCGGGATCCGGCTGGTGTCGGGCTCATGCTCAGCGGGGAGTCTGCTTGAAGATTCTCTCTCTCCCCCTCTGCCTCTGGCCCTGCCTCACTCGCACACTCTCTCTCTAAACGAAATGAATAAAAAATTTTGAAAACACGATTCCACTGCGAATGACTAAAATTCTTTAAAACACCAAGATGCGGGATCCCTGGGTGGCGCAGCGGTTTGGCGCCTGCCTTTGGCCCAGGGCGCGATCCTGGAGACCCGGGATCGAGTCCCACGTCGGGCTCCCGGTGCATGGAGCCTGCTTCTCCCTCTGCCTGTGTCTCTGCCTCTCTCTCTCTCTGTGACTATCATAAATGAATAAAAATTAAAAAAAAAAAAAAAACACCAAGATGCTGGCCATTATGCAAAACAGGTGAAGCCCTCACACCTTGCTGGTGGGAATGCGGAATACCAGCACTGCTGGACATTGCAGGTTTCACCTCAAATGTTAAACACAGGGTTAGCCTATGGCCCACCAATCCCACTCCTAGGAATTATTCGTAATTGCCAAAACCTGGAAACACTTTTAGAGGCGTTGCAGCTCCTGAATGGCTACAGACCCACAGTACATGCACACAGTGGCATCCTACTCTGCAACAGAGGAACAGACTCATACATACAAGGACCTGTGCGAATCTCAAGGCAAGTGAAAGAAGCAGGCTTAAAAATCCGAATACCATGTGATTCTATTTATAGGACATTCTCAAAAAGGCAAAACTGTCTGGTTGCCAGAGGTTAGGCCTCAGAAGAAGGATTTACTGCAAAGGAGAAGCAGGAGGAAATCTGGAGGGATCATAAAATTGTTCTGTAACTTGGTCGGTGGTGGTTACTCAGATGTGTATGTGTTACAATTCCTAGAACTCTACACACACTTCTGTAACACTGTACATTTAAGAAAATATAAAATAGGGGCACCTGGGTGGCTCAGTGATTGAGCATCTGCCTTGGTCAGGTGGTCAGGTAGTGATCTTGGGACCCCTGGATCCAGTCCCACATCGGGCTCCCTGCATGGAGCCTGCCTCTCCCTCTGCCTGTGTCTCTGCCTCTCTCTCTCTCTCTCTCTCTGTGGGTCTCTCATGAATAAATAAATAAAATTTTAAAAAAAAATAAAGGAGGGATGCCCGGGTGGCTCAGTGGCTTGGAGCCTGCCTTCTGCCCAGGGCGTGATCCTGGAGACTCAGGATTAAGTCCCACGTCGGGCTCCCTGCATGGAGCCTGCTTCTCCCTCTGCCTGTGTCTCTGCCTCTCTCTGTGTGTGTTTCTCGTGAATAAATATTTCTCTAAAAAAAGAAAATATAAAATACCTATGAACGGGAGATGCATTCCAATAAAGTTTTAACTTCTTTGTGTGATAGATAAAAAATATGAGGCATAATGTTGTTGGTCAGTTGTACCTACAGGGAACGGCAGTCTGGACCAGCACAATGTTAACCTTTGTGGACACAAGAAGAAATTAAAACACTCGTTTAAACTTCTAAAGGTATTTAGGTTGCAAAGAAGTACTACAGAATGATTAAAAAGAGTTTATTAGAAGCATAAATTCAGGCAGCCCCGGTGGTGCAGCAGTTTAGCACCACCTGCAGCCCAGGGTATGATCCTGGAGACCCGGGATCGAGTCCCACATCAGGCTCCCTGCATGGAGCCTGCTTCTCCCTCTGCCTGTGTCTGTGCCTCTCTCTCTGTCTCTCATGAATAATAAAATAAAAGCATACATTCTATAACATTTTGCTGAACTTCTAGGGGAGGAGGAAAGGCATTCCAGACAGGGGAAGTGAACATTTCTGACAGTAGCTTGCTTGTGTGTTTTTCCGTGGTGGTAACATGTTTAGGTCCCATCAGGCCTGTGCAAACGGGGATGACCATGGTTTTATTTTAAAACGGCCACGACGACAGTGCGAGGAGAAGTTCATCCTGGATGGCTATTGAAACATCAGATGGAAGCTCTCCGAGGTCCACATCAGAGCAAGCAGGTAGGTGGTCCCACAAAAGGCCTTGGGGAGGGTGTGCGGCACACGAGGGTGGAGGTGGTGAGGCCCCCCACGAGCCTAAACCGGCGTCTGCACCTGCTGGGCTACCTGCACACAGCCTAAGGCTCGCGTCATCACGCCACTTCTGACTTCTTACACACCTCCCCAGCCATCACAGGCCTCTCTGTGTTATCAGAGCGTCTCTGCGTCATCACTAGGTGCTGCCTATGTCATCATGGCACTTCTGACATCACTGGAGCACCTGTGAACAGAGACGCCTGGCCTTCTGGAGCCCAAGGGGCACGCAGCCCTTGCCTGGTGTAGGTCGCTGCCTTCAGCCAGAAGGGGCTCCTGTGGCCTGGGGAGGGGCTGCAGGCGACCTCTGCAGGCTCCTTCCAGCATTAAAAATATTTTAAAATATTTGCAAAAACAAAAACCCCCACCCAAAAAAAATTTTTTTTCAAAAAAATTTTCAAAAAAAATTTTTTAAATTGCATTTTGCAACAGCACTGCTACAAGATGAAAATAGACATATGTGGTTTAAAAACGTTTTTTTCGGCCTAAAATTTGGGGTTTCTCCTGATTTTGGAAGAAATGACCCTGTTCTTGTGGGGCTCTGCCCTGTGCACAGTCAACCTCGGCTTCTGTTGAGACTTCCAGCGTGGGACCCCGGCTGCTGATCCTCACTGGGGGCCACCTCGGAGTGGCGGAAGGCTGCAGGAGCATGCCCAGGGACTGCGCAGCTGCCCCTCCACACCTCGCCCAGAGAGAGCCCGCCCAGGGTGCCGGGCATGGTGCAGGAGCTGGCTGTTCCGCAGAGGCTGGCCCCTCAGAATGCTAAGTGTGTCTGCAGTGGGACAAAGCTGGAAACAGCTTAGAGATGTCCACCACGAGGGGCTGTGCAGGCATCTGCACCTGGGACACTGTGCTGTCACTTACAAGGAGGTAGCTCGATATGTCGAGGCGGGCAACAGTGTCCCAGACCGAAACAGCTGAACCATCAGCTTGGGTGGAGAAAACCCCAAAATGGTAAATCGTAATAGGAAATGTAATAATGGCAAATGTATATAGCTAGCCCTTCCCATGTGCCCCCTATGCTCTAAGAGCATTCCACGTACTAACTTCTGCATCCTCGCAAAGCCACTCTCAGACAGAGGCAGGTGCAGAGGTGGGCAAGCCAATGACATTGAGCTGTCAAATGACTTGCTCGAAGTAAGAGGCAGAGCTCAGACTCAAACCCAGGCCATCGGGTTCCATACCTCGTCTTAACCGCTTTTCTTTTCTGCTTCTTATGTAGCAAGAAAGAGCAAGAGCCCAGAACAATACTGTGCATGTCCTACAGGCATCTTGATTTGTATATAAATGCACAGAAAAAAAGCCCGGCCGGGCTCCATGCCAAAGTGGCAAGTTACCTTGGGATACTGGTCAAAGCAGCCTTGGATCCTGCTCTTCCTAAACAAGAACTGCATTCACGCAGTATTTATATAAAATACTAAATATAAACAAGGTTGAAATTTTAAAACAATGGGAAGGCAAGTCAGCAGCCCCGGCGCTCCTGGCAGCTACCAGAAAGGAGCTATTGAGGAGGAGCCCAGATCTTCCCAGGAAGCCCCTCACTCCCCCGCACACAGGCTATCACAAACTCAAACCTTAACGTTTATAAAAGGTTTATTCTTCAACAGTGATTTGTTTTTAAAAGATGATAAACTTCACTTCTCTTACAGTAGAAAAGAGGCAGAGGGAGGAGCAGGAGTCACGGGTGGATGGGTCTCCCGCCCGACCAGACCATGCGGCTGGGCTTCTGCACCTCTGCCCCGGCACCCAAATGCTGAGGGCCCTTGCTGGGGACAGCTTGGGGCAGAGACTCCCACCACCCCCAACAGGGAGCGGCTGGCTCAGCATACAGGAAGATGTCAGTTTAGGCTAGAGGAATGGGGACCCAGACACCCAAGCCTGGAGCCCACGCAGACTCGAGGGAGATTAAAGTCTGCTTGGGGAAGGAGACCGCTGGAGCAGCCTTGAGATGCATCTCGAGTTCACACTGTTGACTGAGACCTTGCAAAGGTGTCTCGCCTTCAGCCCAGGTGGATGGTCAATGGCCAAAGCTCCGGGTCTGGTTGGGCTGGACCGGGCAGCCTCCGCCCACATGGCTTTGGCACAAGAAGTCTGTGTTCCCAGGCTGGGTTTGGGGACAGTAGCCAGCCCTCCAGAGTAAAAGCCCTGTCTTATGTGGCTGAGCCACCAAGCAGGGACTGCAGTATTTCGTGACTATGGATAGGGCGCCAGGGGGAGGTGGCTTGAGCCTTCAGGAGCCCGGGCCCCCAGGCTGAATGGGTCGGGCTGGGCTCACTCGAGGGAGGGGACCCAGTGCCCACAGCACTGTGGGTCACTTGGACAGAAGGTTCCAGACAGTTCTTGTTAGTGAGGCCCCCCCTGAGTCTCGTCAGCAGCGGCTCCATCCCTGAGTGTGCCTGCACACGCCTGTGCACTTGTGTGTGTACGTGTGCTGGGGGTGTGCAGTGTGTGGACACGCATGTAGCAACTGGGGTGCTCAGACTTTAGTAGGACTGATGGGCTGTCCATGGAGAGAGTCTTGAAGAAGCGGGGCGTAGGGGCTGGGGAGCCGGTCTGGCTGAGTGGCCATGCTGGGCTGGCTCGTGGCATCTCTGGGACCCTGTGGAGAAAGACGGGAGCTGGATCACCAAGCCCCGACGCCGAGCCCCACCCATATCCCCAGCCCCACCCTTGGCCATGCACCCACATCCTCCAGCATGGACGCAGCCCCCTGCCCGCCCCCCATCAGCAACACCCATGTATCAAGCTCAAGATGAGAAAAGGCTGGAGTGACGTACAGACCCCTGAAATGCAGTTACGAGAGCCTCCTGTCTCCCTACACGCCATCTCGCCATGCCCTGGCCCCATTCCCGGGGTTGCCAAAACCGAAGCCCAGGAGGACGTGCCTGATCCGGTGAGGAGGGCCAAGCAAGGAGTCCAGGGCTTCTCTGCAGCACCGTGAGCACAAAAACTGGAAACCCCCTACATGTCCAGCGACCCAGGAGTGCATTTTTAAAACAGAGTCACAAGATGGCATTGAACCTGGACAGCTTTCACAGCCGAAACCCGAGGAGGGGAACGCCAGCTGCAGAGTGGCCCATGAAAATCATTTTAATCATCTATTGTTCGTGGATATATTTATACAGACTTAGAGGGGAAAACGGACACACTGAGTTCCTGGCAGTGGCTGCCTCCGGGGGGGGGGGGGAAGGTGAAACAGAACAGAATGTTCATGATTAATGTTGTTGAGTCTGGGTGACAGAGAATATCAGAGACTGTAATTTATCTACTTTTACTTATTTTTTTTCTTTTTTAGTTTCTCAAGTAAGTTGTTAAAGGCAGCAATGATGATAAGGACTGGGAAGGGCCCCCCAACACCCAGCTCTGCATCCTCTCAGCCCTCTGTCTTCCTTCCTCTGAAGGTAGGGGCCCCCCCAGCCCAGCAGTAAGGGCTGGAGTACCCCCAGAACCTCCGCCCACTTATGCTTGTTCATGAACCCCAGTGGCTTGGCTCTCCAGGCGGTGAAGAGAATCAACCTCCACCCCACTCTGGGCAGGACAGAGGGAAGGGAAGAATCGAATCCCCCACTCTGGCTCCTCTCCCTTGGAGACAGATCTAAAGGCTTCCAGGACTGAGCCCATTCAAGCCAGGGGCAGGAATATGGGTTGTGGGCAGGCCAGCCCAGAGTGAGACCAGGCCCCCACACCCCAACACGCCACCATAGAGGGGCAGCATGGGACACCTGGGGTGGCCAGAACTTCAGCAATGTGGCCCCATGAGCCACAATTTAAGAAAGCCTTGGTGAGAAATAAAAAGAGAAACCAGACTAAAAAGACCCCCGGTCTACCCCCAAGGAAGACACATGTAACAAATCCCCAAGGAACCAGAACATGAACCATATTCCTCCTCTTCCTATTCACTTTTGTTTAGCAGAGGAGTGAGGACTTAGAATGGAAGAGAAATTACTGAGAAGGTAGGAAAAGTCCAGGAACATTTCCCTGAAGGGCTTCCATGTACAGTTGTCCAAGATGTTCACTGCACAAGGGCACCTATCCAAGGGGGCTGCAAATGGGCTGTCATGCTCCATTTGCCAAATCCTCAGCCCTAGAGCTGGCCAGGTCTGCACAGCTGGCAGTGTGTGACAGTGGCTGTCTTTCTTATTGACATAAAAATACTCTAAATACTCTCCTAGGCTGGGACAGGCCCCCATTTCCTGCTTTCTCCCAAGCAGGGCAGCCCTTCAAGATTACTCCCATGCCCCGGTGCGAGGCAAGAGGTAGGGCCTCCCCCAGGGACCCATGCTGAGGTTCAGCACAGGCTGGAGCCCACCATGCAGAGATTCTGGGTCTCCAAGACCACTAGTCGGTCACTTCCCAGGCACTTGCCCCCCAAACCAAAGCCTACAGGACACTGCAATCCCCAAGCAAACATGACTGGGGGGAGGGGCAGCGTCATCTGATGTGGAGGCTGAGCTGCCTTCCAGAAGGAATGGCAGTAGAATCTCTAAGTCAAAAACTCCCCTAATAACTTTAAAATTAGATTCTGTGGGTTAAAAAAAAAAAAGAGAGAGACCCTAGTTTTGTCTCTACTTTATTGGGAGGGGGGCTGGGCTGGCAGGACGTGTTGGCTATGTCCCTGGCAGTCGCAGGGCTCTGGCCTCACAACCACCAGCCCTATCTGTGCTAAAAGGGAATAACACCTTCTCTATGCCTGAGGACCCCACCCCTGCACCCTGAGAACGCCAAGCAAGTTTCCACAGAAAGGAATCATGGCTAGCAAGGGGCCAACCTATGCACAATAAGGCATCCCAGAGAGATTCTTGGGAGACAGGAAGGGAGACAAGTCTCCAGCTAGGACACCCGGCTTTTGAGCCCGAGGACTGTGCCCTCAAGGACATCCCGTGGATACTCAGCTCTAACATGCTCAGGGCCCATCCTCCTATTCCCCAATTGGCAGGAGGAGCCCCACAGAGCCTGGCTGGGGACACAGCTGCCCCTCCCTCCTTGCAGGGCCCGCAGCACCTGCGCCCACGTCTTTGCATTTTCTATTTTATTTCCGCCTCCAGTCCTGGCAATCGAAGCCAAGTGGAGGCAGCCAACTGGCCCAGAAGAGCAGGGCTGTTGCCTCGCCCTCGCTCTGTGGCTCTAAAGAAAGCTATTCAACCCAAGCAGGCTTGCCCCAGAAGCTTGAGGGGGCGGCACATTTCTGAGAAACCAAAGTAAGAGCTATTTATCAGAGGTACAAACATAGAGCGAGTCGCCCTACCCGACCCCAAACTCTAGGGCCGGGGCTCCACCTGCTGCATTCCACCCCCAAACCGAGCAGGAGCAGAGCAGGAGCAGGACTCGGCTCTCCTAGGACCTCAGACCTAATGGAACTCGGCGGAGAAGGTGAACTTCCACGGGCACAATCATGCTTCTCCCCAGGTAGGCTGCCAGATAAAATCGGTCCAGTTAAAGCTGAATGTCAGGTAAACAATTCAGTTTTCAGGATATGCACGTCCCAATGACAGCACGGCACACACCTACCCTAAAATGTATTCATTGTTATCTGGCATTGAAATTTGGACATCCTTCTGTTGTTGTTTCTTAAAAGGGTGGGAGTGTTTATCTGCATGTCTTTATTCCACCTGGCAAACCAACCCTTGGGCTGAATCCCAGGTATGCAATTGGTGCTCAGTTGATGCTGAAATTCTTTTTCCTGGTCAGTCATCCCAGATTGATTGATTGATTTAGGGTTTGGGTAGTTTTTGTTTTTGTTTTGTTTTGAGAGAGAGAGAGAGAGAGAGAGAGCATATGTGAGCAGAGGTGGGTGGTAGAGGGGGAAGAGGGAGAGAGGGAGAGGAGGAGAGAGGATCCTAAGCAGGCTCCATGCCCAGCATGGAGTCCAACATGGGGCTCTAGCTCACAACCCTGAAATCATGACCTGAGCTGAAATCAAGAGTCTGATGCTCAACTGAGCCACCCCGGCATCCCCATCCCAGATTTATTTAGACTCTCATTTCTCCAACAACTGATCATCTACATCAGAATCCCCTTGGGGGTGTCCATTAAAATATGGATTCCTTAAAAAAATAAATAAATAAAATAAAATAAAATATGGATTCCTGGGCTCCATCCATGATTCTATTCCAGAGGCTCCAGAAGGATGCCCAGGGCTCTGCACTTTGAGCCAACTTTCTCAGAGGTGTCTAGGGCACCAGAGGTTTGAGAAGCAGCTGGTTGGAACCTTGACCCTACCTTCCTAAGACAACTGTGCAAATGAGACAGCAGCCCACCGAGTGCTATTGCCTTCCACCTCCTACCAGGCCTGGGACCACAAAACAACCATTGGCTCAGAACACAAAAATATATAAGTACGAATTTGCAGTCTATAGACACTCCAGATGAAGTTTAGGCTGAAGAAATGTGTGAGATCCAAAGTGTTTCAAGCCACAAGAGTTCTACTCGCTACAGGGAAGGGGAGTGGGAGGGGGGGCGCGAGGCGTTACCTGGTACCCACCTACAGTCTTGCTTCTTGTAGCACAGTGCCCTTGGGAGCTGGTGTCATCAGGGATTCAGAATAGGCCTGAATGGCCTCCTTATCCTTTGAGCCCTTTTTACTACTACTCCAAAATAAATAGCATTTCTCCTAGAAGATAACCAAGCTAATTTATAATTGACGCCGCAGCCAAACACAAAAGGTTGACATGGTTCTTCAATTTTTGGAAAGCAAAGAGCAGGGTGTTAAGCCCAACTGTGAATGAATGGGGATGCTGAGACCTGGGGGATGGGTGCCCTTCACTAGGAGAAGAAATGCCTTCAGAAAACGTGCTCGGGGGCAGCCCGGTGGCTCAGCGGTTTAGCGCTGCCTTTAGCCCAAAGCGTGATCCTGGAGACCTGGGATCGAGTCGCATATCGGGCTCCCTGCATGGAGCCTGCTTCTCCCTCTGCCTGTGTCCCTGCCTCTCTCTCTCTGTCTCTCGTGAATAAATAAAATCTTTAAAAAAACAAAAACAAAAACAAAAAAACGTGCTCGGTCCAACAGACAATCTACGCAGGAAAGGGTTTACCCACCTGCACATCTAGGTGTGGCTCAGGACACAAGGTGGGGAGACGGGCCATAGTGGGCAGGGCGCCCTGGTGAAGAACCAGCGGGCTGAGCTGGTTGTTTGTTTTAAATGGGCCAGGAACAGAATTTTCTGTTAAAGAGGCTTGCTACTTGAAAGGAATGACTTAAAAAGAAAAATCTGCGTGAAATGAAAATATGTTGAGTTCATCAGCATACAAATTTTTTTTCTTTTAATAGGGACAAATAACATAAAAATAAGTGAGGCCTGACCCCCCGTTAAGCTTCCAAACAACAACATAAAAAGTCATGGAATAAATTTCCATTCTGTGGCCTCCAGTGCCACCCATGGGGAGGGAGTCTCAGTGGCATCCTCAGGGAGTCTGGGGGCCACACGCTCACCTGGGGTCAGGCCTGGGGGGAAGGGGCCCTATAGCCAGCAATTTCACATAGGTTTCCTCACTCTCCTTCCCCATCCCACTCCTGATGGAGACTCAGGAGAGAGGAAAGAGAAGATGGAGGCTGGGCCGGCCCCTCACCAGCCAGTCCCCAGGACCCCGCCTCTGGCAATGCATCTTCACTAGTGGAAACACCCAAGGAGGGATCCACAGGCTGGGAGCCTTGGCTTTTAGTCCCTTCCGCCCTCCCAACATAAATCGGTGTAAGAACCATAGGGTTCCCTGGAGTGCCAGCCGTCCCCAGCCCGGCCTCCCGGGCCCCTAGCGGGCTGCTCACACCCACCGGTCAGCAGGAGCTCAAGCAGCAGAGCGATGGTGTGGTGAGAGCGCGTGGGCCCCCGTACCCTCGCACCAGGGCAAACCTTCCCCACTAGAGGACGGGGAATTTGGAAGGCAAATCGGGTAAAGGGTCTGAAACCCAAACTTCCCTGAAACCCGGGAAGGTTTGTCATGACCCCAGCAAGCAAGCAAGCATGCAAGCTGCCCCCGAGAAAGAGAAGAAGTCAGAAGAGCTGTTCACCAAAGCTGAAGCCAGAAATCAGGCGCCATGGGGGCCTAAGGGCCCTCCCACATGCCTCGCCCACCTCGGCCTTGGGGCCTTTGCACTGGCCATTCCTTCTCTCAGAGCACTCCTTCTGTGACTCTGTGCAGAGTGCGTCATCACCGTCCACATCTGAGCTAACTTCTACCTCTCCTCCTGAGAAGCCTTTCCTGACACTCTCTCTAGAGCTGTCCCCAACCCCCTTGAATGCTGTGCTGTGCTGTCCAGTCCAGTAGCCACATATGGCTGTTAAGCCTTTAAAATGGGATGAGCCCAAATCAAAACCTGCAGTAGGTATAAAATACACCCTGCATTTCGAAAACTGAACATGAAAAAACAATGTGAAATATTTTTATATTTTTTATATCGATTACAAGTTGATGTGGTTGTATTTTGGACCTCTCCAAGTTAAACAAAATATATTATTAAAATTGATTTCTTTTTACTTAACATAGCTGTTAAAAAATGTAAATTTAAAATCACACACCCGGCTCACGTATTTCTCCTGGACAGCACAGACCTTGTCTGTCACGTTTTCTGACATCTTTATCATCAGCGAAATTACCTTTCCTGTTTACTCGGTTTGCATGTGTCTCCCTAACTAGAATACCATGCTCCCCCAGAGCAGAGCCCATGTCTGTCTTGTTCACGGCTATCTGCCCCGTCCCTGGCAGAGCCTGGCACCCACAGGTGCTGACGTGATGAACAAACCATTCAAGTATTCAAGTACCAGGTCTCATCACCCGAAGTCCACTGGCAGCCCTTCCCAGGGAGAGTCCCCAGGCCTCCCAGGACCAGCAGAAAAGTGACATTGTGGGATGTGAGAGAGGCAAGCATGCAGTGACAGCTCCCCTGCCCCAGGCAGAGACGTGGGACGACTGCCCAAGGTGGGCTCTAGGCTGGGAGTGTCTGCGGGGACGACTGGAGGGATGCCCAGGGGACCGCATCTGAGCCCCACCTTCCCCAGGCAGGCAAGCAATGGGCCATTCAGCCCTGGCCTCACTCTGGCCACTACCTACTTGGCTCCGCAACTGGTAGATGATGGGGATGAGCAGCAGGATGCAGCCCAGCGCGAGGAGGACGTACTGGGCGTAGTGCAACACATTGGGCATCAACACAAGCTGGGTATAGAAGGTCTTCAGGGGCTTGCCCTCCATTGCCCCGCTCTGGGGATGGAGAACAGCAAACAAATGCATGGGGGCCACACATCCTCAGCCCCCCACCCCTTCCCCATCTCAAGACCACAGGTCTGTGATGGAGCTTGCAAGGGAGTCTCATTTTCCTTGGGGCCACACAATGGGACCACATTTCCCAGACTCCCTTGCAGCTGGGGAAGGCCATGCGATCATATTCTGGCCAATGGGACTTGGGCCTAGTATGCTACAACTTCGGACCTGGCCCATAGACACCTGCCACGGGATTCTCTCCTGCATGGGTCCCAATTCCTGGATTGGGGTGGGTTCTGAGGATCTTGAAGAGGGCAGGACCACAGGCCAGCAGGAGCATGAGTGTCCCTGAATGACCACATGGAGCAGAGCTCCTCCTCCAAAAACCTGCCCAGACTGTGATGTGAACAGGCTGTTCCTTTGGATGCTAGTTCTGTTTGATTGAAGATGCACTGGCCAGAAGTAACCCCAAAAAGCCAGGAGAAAAAAAAGTTCAAGTGAAAAGCTGACCCTCTGGAAAGCAACTTCCCTTCTCTCAGGAGAAGTGATCAAGCACATTTTCAAAATTATACTGTGGACCAGGGCTTTACAGTTTTCATGCAGCTTCTGTCTTTCTCACCTATCAATGCAGTGGGATAACTGATAGGAAGTGTTTGGACTTTGTGAAGCTTCTCATGGATTGTTCTACATCCCACATTCCAGCTACCAGCCTACCCCTACCCTCCACAAACAGCCCTTTGCCCCCAAAGCCCACACTGGTTCCTGCCTGGGGTCCCAAACACTGTGCCCAAGGGCACCCAGGCAGGCAACCAGAGGCAGCCTCACCTCTTCAAACCACACCAACGGCAGGACCACGGGCTGGATCTTCCCCGTTTGTCTGGAAATAAGTGAGACAAAGCAAGTAAGAAGTTTTGTCAGGGTGTTTTATGTCAGGCAGCTTTGGTCATGTGATCCTAAGCTCCAGGGTCAGGAGGGATTTGATTTTGTAACAAGTGGATTGGTGCAGGCTTGAGTAATGGGCATTTCCTGGGAGGGAGCAACTTGACAACCTGTAATATCTTTCTGAATTAAAAATTCACATCTCCTATAAGGTGGGGACTGCCAGTGACCTGGCTGAGGTCCCTTTGTTCCTTTTAGAAACAAAACCCCAAATTTGATATTCAGGATGGCAGTGTACCCAGCTAACTAACAATAGGGTTTATGCTCACCTCCTGCTTTCCTTTGGAGAGTCTGGAATCTGGGTCCATGCCAGAACAGAGGCTGCCTACGTGACCAGGCCCCAATAAACACGCTGGGCACTGAGTCTCTAATGGGCTTCCCTGGTAAAAACACTTCACACGTATTGTCACAACTCATTACTGGAGGAATTAAGGGTATCCTGTATGACTCTCCTGGGAGAGGGCTCTGCAGGCTACTGTGTGGCTCATCCAGACTTCACCCCATGCACCTTTTCCTTTGCTGATTTTGTTGGAACTCTTCCACTGTAATAAATCACAGCCACAGGTAGGACTATGTGCTGAGTCCTATGAGTCTTCCCATTGAGTCATCGAACCTGAGAGTGGTCTTGGAGACCCCTGACACAACACTTATTAGCTAACTGTGAGACCTTGGGTATGCTCCCCACCCTCTGTCTCCTCTGTAAAGTGGTGATTACAATGGCACTCCTCATGGGGCTCTACTGCTCAAAATGCAGTAACATGACCAGACTGGTTAGAGGAACACCCACCATATAGAAAGTGCTCCAGGTTTGTTACTGCTGTCATTGTTAAATCCTAGCAAACAAATGGACGAAAATATTCTGCAGCTGCTTGTGGAGGACGGGAGGTGTGGGTTGGCTTATAGAAGGCATAGCTGGACAGAGGAGAAATGGAATGCAGTAGGGGACAGAACCAAAGTCAACACAAAAGGCCAAAATCTCTCAATCACCACTCTTAAACATCTCTCGGGCCACCTATTACGTAGAGTATTGTGCAGTGAAATGAATTTACACAGCATGACCTACAGAGGAGACACAGAAAACATTACAGAGGGGCACCTGGGTGGCTCAGTGGGTTAAGCATCTGCCTTCATTCAGCTCAGGTCATGATCTTGGGGTCCTGGGATCCAGCCCCGCATTGGGCTCTCTGCTCAGTGGGGAGTCTGCTTTGCCCTCTGCCTCTGCCCTTCCCCTCAGATTGGGGCTCTTTCTCAAATAAATTTAAAAAATAAAATAAAATAAAAACACTACAGAAATACAATAGAAGGTCCACGTTGGTCTTTTTTTATATGAGTTTATAAGAACTGATGTAAATTAAATGCAAATAGCATGCAACTCTGCTGCCTTTATCTTGTGGGCAAACAACACAAAAGTTCCCCAGACAAGCCACAGTTAAACAGCTCAGCTTGCAGGCAGCTGTGCCTCCGGTCTTTTCCCACACCCGTTGTCACTGGCCCTCAGGGATGGTGGGAATCACTGCTGTTAGACCAGCTCCCTAGAGGCCACTGCTCCAGCCTGAACTAGAGGTCAGACATCTGCATAGCCTCATCCTGAACAGATGCAGACACAGAGGCCCAGAGAGGTCAGGGTAGAGGCCCTGGGGTCACCAACAGGCAGAACTCAGCGGCCCACGTGTACTGCTGGCTTGAGCAGCGTTTGTCAAGAAATCCAATTCACGGGACACCTGGGGGGCTCAGCGGTTGAGCATCTGCCTTTGGCTCAGGGTGTGATCCTAGGGTTCTGGGATCAAGCCCCACATCGGCTCCCTGCAGGGAGCCTGCTTTTCCCTCTGCCTCTGTTTCTCTGTCTCTCTCATGAATACATAAAATCTTTAAAAAAAAAAAATTCCAATTAACTTCCAATAGGTGAAAATTAAGCCCCTGATAAAATTCAGATTTTGAAAAATGCATTTGAAAATGCATCAGATGGGGCGGCAGCGGGCATGAGCTCCCTGATGCAGGCAGGGGCTAGCCCTTGGTGCCCTCCCCACCCAGTCTGCCCAGCTCTTCCCAGTCACCTGCTGCCTCCTGCCCCCATGAAGTGGCGTGGGCCCCAAAGCCCGAGGCTGGGTGGCAGATGCCTGGTGGCAGGGCGTTTGACCACCCACAAATCTTCCACGAGCAAACCCTCTGACAGCCTCACGATGCACAACTTAAAAGCCAGGGTGGGAGCAAAAGAGAGGCGCGTATTCTTTCCAGTTGAAAGGCATTTTACAAAGCTGAAGAGATGCTCACATTCCTGCAGCCCAGAAATTCTTCCTAGGGAAATTTTTTTTAATGAAACTATTTCAAATATGCTTTAAAAAAAAAAAAAAGACAAAAACCAGAACCCAGATGCTACCATAACGACTAAGTCAGTGCACCATCTCGCCCAGCTCCATCACAACACCACGCTCTGACAAGAGCTGACGAGGACATGGAGGTTGGAGCGCTCCCACACTGCTGGCGGGAAGGTCAACGAGGCAGCTGCTGTACACAACAGCCCAGCAGCCCCTCCAAGGCCTAAATGTGGAGTTCCTCTCTGATGCAGCAATTTTGCTCCAAGGCATCTACCCAAAAGAAATGAAAGCACGCATCCACACAGAAATGTATACCTGCATGTTCAGAGCAGGCATTGCTCATGATGGCCCAAAACAAGAAAATCCCAAATGTCCATCAGCTGATAATGAAACATGCCCACTGCAGACAATGGAATAAGATTGGCCATAAAAAGGAAGAAGCTGCTACAACGTGGACGAGCCTTGCAAATACGATGCCGAGTGAGAAGCTGGACACAGAAGGCCACATACTATATGATCCTCTTTATAGGAAGTGTCCAGAACAGGCAAATCCATAGACAGAAAGTAGACAAGGGGTTGCCAGGGGCTGGGGGAAGGGGAGGGGAATGGCTGCTAATGGGGACAGGTGTCTTTGGGGGTGATGGAAACGTTCTAAACTTGACAGAGCAAAGGCTGCACGACTCTGAATATGCTACAAATCACTGAAGTGTATCTTTTTTTTTTATATTTGATTTAAATTCAAATTACCAACATATATAGTATAACCCCCACTGTTCATCTCATCGTGTATCCTCCTTAGTGCCCATCACCCTGAAATGCACCTTTTCAAAGGGTGCTTTTATGGTATGTGAATCACATCTCCATAAGCTCGCTACCCAAAACAAACAACAACAAAAAGAAAATCAAGGCTTAAAAAATGTCTTCTATAAAGTGAAGAGTCACACTTTAAAATGCTATTTGGTATGTTTCCATGTTCAAATACTTGCTTTGCCAGGATTGTTTTCTTTGTTTTTTTTTTCTTCTTTTTTTTCCAATTTTCTGTTGAATGGGAAACCACTTGGATGCAAGGGTCTGGTGAATTTGGGAGACAGATGTTAAGAGAGAAAACCAGGATTTCGGGGCAGGAAGCAGACTCCACATGCAGGAGGACCATCTCCCTCCCCATGAGCTTGTCCCTCGGGAGACCCCCGTCCCTGGGATCCCGGCCCCAGCCCCTATGGTCACTTACCCGATGCCTTTAATGGCCTTGATATACAGGCTCAGCTGCAGTTTCACGGAGCAGTTCATGGGGATCCCAGTGACCTGTGGCGGCAAGCACAGAGAGGGGCCTGGGCTCGCTGGAGCACCGGGGACACTCCAGACACCTGTCCCTGCTCCTGCTCCAGACAGTGGGTACAGGGGCCTTCCCCCCACCTCCCCACCCCACCCCCTGACTCCAAGCCCTTCCAGGCAAACACACACTTCCCTCTTCCGTGCACGGGCTTCCCCAGGTGTAGAATGTCATTTCTGCACTCACCCTCCTCCCCCGGTCCATCAGCCAAGCTAAACAAAATAGATTTGCATGTGGAAAAAGTCACTCTCCTCTGGATTCACACAACTTTTCAACTTTTCCTGTCTCAAACCTCATGTATTGGTCCTTCATGTCTAATTTTATGGTTGCCTTTTGCTTTTTTCTCAAGAACTTTTTAATTTCCAAGTTCGAGGCAGTGACAACAAACTTCCTTTGTGGCAGAAACCTATTTTTTTTTTTTTGGATAATTTTTTTGCATACAAAAATAGCAGGAGAGGTGACACACACATATAACCAAGCTCAGAGGGGTGGCTCCCGAAGCAGGAAGGAACCAAGGTTTGAGGTCAGGGAGGCCACAGCTGCTGGTTCTCCACGGAGGCCCGTTTCCTCATCCTCATTAGCAAAAGGAGCTAATTGCCCCCACCAGCTCCCAGAATTTCTGCACGGCAAAATAAGGTATGCCAGACTCAGAACCGTAAATGCTTGTTCGATGACCACGTACGTGGGTGGGAAAGGACGTTATCTTCCTTGATAAGCAGGCCTCATGGGCCTGGGTGGCACAGAGGGACGGGGCAAAGGCCGTGCTCCTTGGATGGGGGAGAGCTTGAACCCAAGAACCTGGAGGGATGGGAGTAAGTCCGTTCTGTGTGGTAACGTGTTAACATAGCAAATCCAAGGCTGCCCTCCTGGAGAAGCCTGTTGGCCAGGCTGGCCAGTGGCTGGCTTGACTTCGGGAGGGCCCTGCCCCGTTCCCTAACTGATAAGGGGGTGCTCACTGCGCCTGGATTGTTTGTACACACAGCATGATTTATGCTGGCCATCAGCTTTCCCGTGGGGAGTCTGGAAGTTTGGTAGGTACCAGGCAGTGGGAGCCAGCGTGAGCAGCCCTCAGTAAACACCCTGGGCACTGAGTCAGTAATGGGCTCCCCTGGGAGGTGACACAGCTCACTGCTGGGGGAATTAAGTGTGTCCTGTGTGCCCTCCATGGGAGAGGGCCCTGTACCTGGTTTGGTTGCCTCCACCCCTTGGTTTCACCCCAGGTGCCTTTTCCCTTTGCTTTGTGCTTTGTGTCTTTTCCCTGAAATAAATTACAGCTATTATTTCTACTATATGCTGAGCCCTGGGAGTCCTCCTAGCAAATCATCAAATTTGAGGGTGGCCTTAGAGACCCTGACATAACCCGGGCCCCCCAACCCTGCTTTCTAGAACAGACTTTATATTCGGAGGTCCCCCCTCCTTCCCCGGGCCACTTCCTTCCCCAGGAAATTCGTTTCCTTCTCTCCTTGGCCCCTGCTCCTCCAAATGCTGTGGGGCCCCTTCTTAGGGGGCAAAACCCCACCCACTCCCAGCACTTTACAGAACCAAGACATGGGACCATGAACACACTCCCTTTACCACACCCTTCCTGGATGCAGGAGCAGAAAAGCAGCCACCAGGAAAGCAATTCCAACAGGTATTCTGTTTTCCAGGCTAACGCCACTCAGGCAGCAAACTGGTCCCATGCCCTTCCTCCCCCAAAATCAACAACCAAAAATCAAAAGGCCATTTCCTTTCCCTGTGTGCCTCCAGCGGACCCAAAACCAAAGAATAAGCCAGTTTATACTGTGGCTGCAACAAAACACCTACTGGCATCTGTCTGGTTCCCCAATCTTAGCCACCTGTTCCCCAACACGGGGGAGGAGAAGCGAAAGACATGCACTAGTATAAAAGTCATGGGTGAGAATCCAGTCATGTTCTTGCTGGATTCCCCAGAAGCTGGCAGAGAGAGGGAGGGGGCAGTAAAATAAAGGAACCAGGGACGCCTGGGCAGCTCATCGGTTAAGCATTCGACTTAATTTCAGGCCATGATCTCAGTCAGGGTCCTGAGATTGAGCCCCGCATAGGGCTCCACACTCAGCAGGGAGTGTGCTGGAGATTCTTTCCTCTGCCCCTCCCCCCCTCACAGCGGTGCACACTCACTCTCTCTCAAATAAATAAATCTTTTTAAAAAATGGGAAATGAACTAGGGGTGGTGGAGGGGGAGGAGGGCGGGGGGTGGGGGTGAATGGGTGACGGGCACTGAGGGGTACACTTGACGGGATGAGCACTGGGTGTTATTCTGTATGTTGGTAAATTGAACACCAATAAAAATTAATTTATAAAATAAAATAAAAAAAAATAAAATAAAAAATCAATTAATTAAATAAATCAACTAAAAGAGAAACAGGTGAACAGTCAACTTAGCTTTATAACAAAAAACTTAAAAACCGGTTAAAATGTTAAGACAACATGGAAAAGCCTTAACATTTCTAGCAATAACAAATGAACTTAATTTGGAACACAGAACACAGTCGTATTAATTGCTATCAATTTAATTAATATCAATCTCATTAAAATTAACTATATATTAGCAGAGGACATGAGGTGGGGACATCAGAATTTAGCTTTGAATTATTTGTTGGAATTGTCTGAATTCAGCTTTGTCCCTCACTTACTCTGTCAATTTATAAACCCATACCCACTGAGATACTAGTGCCTCTGTGCTAACGGCTGGAATCCAGGCAATGAACAAGACAGAATGGACCTTTCCTCTGTGGAGCCAAAAATCCCATTTACAAGTTGTATCACTTGACCTATCTGGACCACAGCTTCCCCATCCACACAACAGGAGTAGCAGTGCTCACCCCTTCCTAAATAATTGTGAATATTTACAGAGTTACTGCGTATGAAAATTTCTACCTCGTGTCAGCACCATGAGTATGCGAGCAATATTTGCTGGATGTGAAGTGTGTGTGGTCACAATTGACTTAACTAGTCTGGATTTTAGTGAAAAGAGAGAGAGGGAGAGCGTGGAGTTGCAGGAGCCGGTGGGTCGAGTCAGGAGCCCAGAAGTCTGAGTCCACAGAGGAACAACATGGAACAGTATCCAGCAGAAGAGCTCAGCAAAAGCCTGTGTGGCCACACACGAAACAGAAAACCATGGGACTGGCGGACGCCTGCGTGGCTCAGCAGTTTAGAGCCTGCCTTCAGCTCAGGAGGTGATCCTGGAGTCCCAGGATCAAATTCCATATTGGGCTCCCTGCATGGAGCCTGCTTCTCCCTCTGCCTATGCCTATGCCTCCCTGTGTCTCTCTTGAAGAAAGAAAGAAAAGAAAGAAAAGAAAAGAAAGAAAAGAAAGGAAAGGAAAGGAAAGGAAAGGAAGAGAAGAGAAGAGAAGAGAAGAGAAAGGAAGAGAAGAGAAAGAGAAGAGAAGAGAAGAGAAAGAAGAGAAGAGAAAAGGAAACCATAGGAATGGGACGCCTGGGTGGCTCAGTGGTTGAGCATCTGCCTTCGGCTCAGGTCGTGATCCCAGGGTCCTGGGATCAAGTCCTGCATCAGGCTCCCTGCAGGGACCCTGTTTCTCCCTCTGCCACAGTGTGTCTCTGCCCCTCTCTCTGCCCCTCTTATGAATAAATAAAATCTTGAAAAGAAACCCATAGGATTTTTTAATCAACAGCAAAAGCCAGTAACTCTAAATGGGCATATTTTACAGTGACAGAGATACTAAGAGGTAAGACACCCAGGTACAGATAGGCCCATGGGAGGGCCACATGTAGGGATCTGCTATCTGCTTGGTCCCCACCTGTAGACAGAATGTCACAGAGGACAAATTCCCCAGAACCCAATTTATCTGCAAGTTATTCCAGGCTCTTGTCGGGACCTATATCTTTATGATATGTTGGCACAGCCAGAGGGCTCCTCTCACTAATTTGCAGACTGATAATTCTAATTAATTTACTGTCTTATGGTCCTTTTATAAAGACAATTACCTGTACAGAGATAATGAACCCCTTGAACTATGGAGTCAGGGCAAAGTAGGGACCTCTAATGGCTTGATATTCTAGTAGCGATCAATTCCAAGGAAAGCCAGGCTTCCCATCACCCCCACCCTAGAAGAGCTCAGTGCGTGGGGTCCAAGTAGGCACCAGTCAGAAATCACCCACTACCCTCCACAGGTTGACAAGCAGGGGCTCACCGGGTGGATGTCCAGGAATAAGGAATGCTCCTCTTGGTTGGGGTGGAGGCCAAGCACTGCCTCTGCCAGCATCGGGTCAGCATTGTAGAAGTGAGGGTGGGAGAGAAACAAGGGCGCATCTAGAAGGCAGAGGGGGGGGGGGAGAGGTCGTCAGACAAGGGAGAGCCTTGGCACATCCAGAGGCCTGCATTGTGCCAGGCCCAGGGGATGCACAGGGAGTTAAAGAGGACCACTGCCTGCAGAGCATCCAGATGATGGCAAGATGCAAACAACAATACCTAGACAGAGAGGATTCCTTCACCCAGTCTGTAAATGTCTACCAAGGGCCCGAGAGATGCCCCCCATGCGGAATGGACAAGCTCTGTACCGCAGGAATGATAACAGAGGAGCTGCTGATTTGGGTGGGGGAGATCACAGGAAAGAAGGGAGGATGGTGAAAATATGCCAGGCAGGGAAGGCCACAGAACAACATTTCAGGTGGAAAGTTTGGCAGAAACAAAGGCAGGGAGATGGGAAAATGCACAGGGCACGTGGAGCAGACAGTACATGGAGGTGAATTATGGGAGATGAGGACAGAAAGGTAAGTTGAGGCCAGATCCAAACTTGGGTGGGGGAGGGGCATCTTGATGGCCAAGCCAAGCAGCCTGGACTGTCTTCTGCAGGCAATGCGGCAGCCGCCAGAGGTGCAGAGGTGTGAATGCCTGCAGCCAGGTCTCCCTATCATCCACGGGAAGGGAGAAGACACACCTGCTTTGCTCCTTCTCTCCCAGCAGCCGGTCTACTGGATGGACGCAAGTGTGAATAAGGACTGACTCAGGCCCTTCTGTGTGAGCAATTCACACCCAGAAACGTGAAGCCAAACCTCTCCATCAACTGATCGTACAAGGCAAACGCCAGCGCATCCTCGTGTGCTCAGGATAACGTCTAACAGGCCTGATGGACAATGAGTTAACGATGAAAAGAATGAGCCTCTCCGAGAAAACCCAAGAGGATCCAGAACAGACAAATCCTAGAGACAGGACACCATACATTGTGCTAGCCAGGGACTAGGGGATGGGAGATGGGGAGTGACTGCTAAAGGGTATGGGGTCTCCTTCTGGGAGAATAAGAATGTTCTGGTACTAGACAGAGACAGTGGATGCACAATCTTGTAAATGTACTAAACGCCACTGAATTGTACATAATTTAAAAATGGTTAATTTTATGTTATATGAACTTTACCTCAATATAAAAAAAAAGGAAAAAACAACAATAAAACTCACAAGGTCTCCTCTGTAAAACCAACAGCACGTCCACCACCTACCAGGTGACCGCCATTTGTGTTATGTGTATCTGGCAGCCTCAAATATCTAGATTCCTTCCACTTAGCAAGGCCAACCATAAGTTTGAAATAAAAGCTGGCATTTCATTGCTGCCTGATATTATCTTTCCCGGGATACTTTTACATTCATTGCCTTCTTGTTTCTCAACATTGATTCATTTAGCCAAGTACCTCTCCAATTTTGCCATATCTGGGTCCCCCTGCACAATTATATAATGTGCGTCTCTGACCCAAATGCCATTATTTAAATAGCTATATTTTAAGGCAGGGCTTTCTATCTGAGCCATAACTGGCAAACACTTGCCACAATAAGTAAATATAGGAAGAAATACAACAGAAACCATGAAGGTTGCACATTCTTTTTTTTTTTTTAATTTTTATTTATTTATGATAGTCACAGAGAGAGAGAGAGAGAGAGAGGCAGAGACACAGGCAGAGGGAGAAGCAGGCTCCGTGCACCGGGAGCCCGACATGGGATTCGATCCCGGGTCTCCAGGATCGCGCCCTGGGCCAAAGGCAGGCGCCAAACCGCTGCGCCACCCAGGGATCCCAAGGTGGCACATTCTAACTAGATACCGTTGCCCGCATGGGGGCTTTGAGCATGAGACCTGCTCTTTTCGATTCAAAGGAAAGACAGGGAGCACCAGGCTCGCTTAGTCGATGGAGCTTGTGACTCTTGATCTTGGAGCTGCAGGTTCAAGCCCCATGCTGGATGTAGAGATTACTTAAAAATCAAAATCAATGCTGAGCCTGGGTGGCTCAGTCGGTGAAGCATCTGCCTTGGGTTCAGGTCATGATCCCAGGTCTTGGGATTTGAGCTCTGTTTCAGACTCCCTGCTCAGCAGGGAGCCTGCCTTCTCTCTCCCTCTGCCCCTCCCCCTGCTTATGGTCACTCTCTCACTCTGCTCTCTTTCTCTCAAATAAATAAAATCTTTAAAAAAAAATAAAATCTTTTAAAAATAATTTTAAAAAATGTTTTTAAATAAAATCTTTTAAAAATAGTAAAAAATCTAAAAAAATAAAAATCTTTTAAAAAGAAAGATAGGTGCTGGAAAGGCCTCTTACGCCAACAGCGACTCTCTCACTAACCCTCTCTCCCAAATCAGTTAATGTTATTTTAAGCCATCTCCTCGGACCCTCGAAGCTGCCTTGAGTACCCCAGGTACAACGCCCTATCATTTGGAAACCCTCCTTCCTTACCCTCCCATCTCTCCTGTGGAAAGAGACCACCAGAGCGAACACGAGGAGCCCCGTGTTTACAGATGGCAACACTGAGACCGTCTAAGGGCAGCGGTCACCACACCAGGCCCCTGAAGGCGGTAAATCTCAAAGGAGGCCAGAGGCACCTGACATGGGTCAGACCAACGTCCATGACCCAACTCTTGCTTCAGACAGTAAGCAGGCTTGTTCTTTTAACAGCAAGCCAGGCTCCCCATCTTCCCAGCAAGCATGCACGTGTGCATTCCTTTACATTTTATTTCCAAACGGCACGGGGATTAAATGGCCATTAATTTATAGCTTTATGGCTCGCCCAGCCAGACCTCATTGCCCAGGGTCACCACAGATTACGACGAAGAGGTCTGATGAACAGGTCTGAGGGCCTCGAGCAGCACAGATGTTTGAGGAATGAGAGTCCTCTAGGTCCAAGAAATGTTCAAGGCCCTAAAAGGGAAATGTTTGGTATTTCTTATCTTCAGACAAAAGGTTAGAGAAATGCAGACAGAAGTGTGCGGGAAAAAAAAAATAAAAAGAAAAAGAAAAAAGAAAAAAAAGAAAAAAAAAAAAAAGAACTGTGCGTAAAGACACGGGCAGGAAGTTCCCAGCAGCACTGGGCTAATGGTCAGAAGGCAGCAGCACCGATGCCCGTGAATGGCTGAACGGGTACGGACACGATGGTGCGTTCCCTCGGTGGCACATCATCCAATGAGGAAGAGGGTGCCCACAACACCCAATGCGGACAGACCCCACCAACACAATAATGGGTGGAAGAGGCCAGAAAGAGAGACAAACGCAGTGTTCACCGTATGATCCTGTTCACCTAAAGACCAGAGGCAAGCAAAGCTGTGCTGCTGGACGTCGTGCCAGTGCTGGGAAGGGGCCCGGGGGCTGCTGGGGGGGCCACTCCTGTTCTGCTTCACGATCCGAGTGCTAGTTACAGCAGCGTGTGCATTTTGTGGAATTTCAACCTGCACACATCCTTTGGGCAACCCTCTGCACCCATGTTTATTTCAACATTAAAAAAAGAATTATTTTATTTACGTAGATAGTTTAAAATTCCTTTGCATTTCTAGGGGTGCCTGAGTGGCTCAGTCAGGTGGACATCTGACTCTAGACTTCCGCTCAGGTCGTGATCTCAGGGTTGTGGGATCGAGCCTCACGTCAGGCTTGGCGCTCAGCACAGAATCTGCTTGTAGCACTCTCTCCTTCCCCCCTGTCCCTCCCCACCCCTGCTCCCTCTAAAATAAATATATAGATCTTTAAAAAACAAATAAATAAATAAATAATAAAATTCCCTTGCACTTCTGAAGTTATCCTGGCAGATGTGCTAAGATGGGGCAGTGCAGACCTCGTCCCTAGCCCTCTGACGTGGATGGACCTATATAGCCCATGCCTGCCTGGCACCCACCCTTTCTCCTGGAACCCACATCCCAGCTCTGGAACCCACTGTCCCCTCCCACACTATGCCAGGGCTGGTCCCACCCATGGAGTCAGGGGCTGAGTGTGTGACTTGGTAATTGGCTCATAGCTGGCCATGGGACTCAACCCCAGGACCCCAGGATCACAACCCAAGCCAAAGGCAGACGCTCAACCACTGAGCCACCCAGGGATCCCTACTCTGGGATCTTTAATGCCACAAGCCATGAAGTGCTCCTAACGGCTTAGGTTGCTGCAGCTGTCACCTGCCACAGCAGTGGTAGCACACAGCCCAGCGGGTCTCTGTCACCCCCTCCCACAAGCAGAAATTCCCACAGACACCAGGAAGGGAAGCATGAAACAGAGGGTGAGGCCAGATAGGTCACACAAGGCCATGACAGAGAGGGCACCTCTAGACCCCAGCTCCAAACCCTTCACCTTACAGAGCACCCCATTCTGCTTGAACATTGGGAGTCATCCAACCGGACAACCCTGTGGCCAACTACCCTTCTCAAACCCCCATCTCCAGTGGGACATGTGGCTTCAGCCGGACAGGCCCCCGGAAGGCAAGACCCAGTCAAATGAGGAGTGGCTTCTTATCCTACCAACCGTGGGAACTCGGGCATGTCCCAGTCCTGAGCTTCAATTTTCTAAGTGCGGGATAAACCCCACACACACCCATACACTCAAATACTACCTACTGGTCACAATTCTAGAAGCTAAGGACAGAGCCCTGCCAGCAGCATTTACAGTCTGGTGGAGGACCCAGGCAATAAATAAGTAAAACAAAATACACAGTGATTTCAGGGAGTGATGGGCAGCAAGAACACACCAGAGGCTGAAATGACAGAGAGCAGCTTGCAGGGATAGGGGGGACAGAGGGGTAAGGAGGGACAACTTTAGTATGGGAAATCACAGCAGGCCTCCTGGAGGAGGTGGCCTCTGAATAGAACAAAAGGAGGGGAGGGAATAATCCACACAAATCCACATGGATATCTGGAGAAAGAACTTTTGAGGCAGGGGGAACAGTTGATGCAAAGGCCCTGAGGTAGGACCAAACTTGATACAGTCTACAAACAGGGAGAAGGCAGGGGGCTGAAGACTAGTTAGTGGGGGGAGTACAGGAAGAAATGATATTCGAGAGGCTGGCACAGGCCAGATCCTGCAGAGCACAGAGGCTGCAGTCAGGTCAGGGCTTCACTTTATGTGCGTGGGGGGAGCTGTAAGACATTTGAAGCAAAGCGTTGGCTGGCAATCTGTGTTTTAGAAGGGTCCCTCGGGCTGCTCTCTGGAACAGGTCCCACAGTGGGGAAGATGCCTCCTTCTGCACTGGCCGTCCCATATAGAAGTCACTAGGCACATATGGGTGGTGATCATTTGAAATGTGGCCAGTGTGACTAAGGCACTGCCTTTTAATTTAATTGCATTCAAACCAATTTCAATTTACAGAGCCGCCCCCCCACCAGGGCCAGTAGTGATGGCACTGGACAGTCTGGGAAACAGTAGGTGTGTAAGGTGACAGCAATGTCACAGAGGGGCTAACAGGAGGCAGAGTAACGGGAGGGAGTAGGGACTCCTTTTGTTTGCAGACAGAGCTGACGGGCTTGCTGATAGGCTGGGCAAGGACGAGGGGGAGCACTGGAGGTGACAGCCAGGTGTCCAAATTGAACAATTGAGGCGGACTTCCAGGGGCCTGGCACACAGCTTGAAAATGTGACGCCAGATGACACCGCTGGCACGAGGCCTCACACTCCAGCCCAAACCACACACGACCCAACGAGATCTTATGGAACAGCCCGGCTGGTGGCGGCTTCCTTCCCTCCCAACAGGGAGCGAAGGGCCCCTCCCACGAAGCCACATCCTCGAGGTACATATCCTGGGGCGGCAGGCGGGACGAGGCCTCCCCAGAGCCATCCGTGTCCCTGTCTGCAGAGCCTGTGAACACACCAGGTCCCTGGGCAACGGGAGCAGCGCAGGGGGAATGAAGGCTGCGATCAGCTGGCTCTAAAAGCGGATTATCCCCGGGGTAGGGGCGGGGGAGGCGTGCGATATAGCCTCCAGGGTCTTTAAGCCAGAAGACAGAACCGGAGAGATGGGGCCTCGGACATGGGATCAGAGAGACACGGAGTTGCTGGCGGTGAGGACGGACGCGGGGCCAGGAGCCAGGGAACCCCAGACAGCCTCAGAAAGCCCACCACCTGGCCCCCCTGCACCTCGGGAAAGGAACTCGGCCTGCCGACCCCGGGGCCCTAGGCCTGCATCGGACCTCGGAACTGTTTCAGGTGCTACGTTTATGTTGTTTATGTCGCTCGGCCACTGAGATTGTGGGAATCCATTAGTACAGCAACTAATCTACACGGCCTTTTCTCCTCTTCTCTTCCTTATCTCCGGCCTAATGGGATTATCAGGAGTAGAGGCCAGAGATGTGGCAGCCTGGGAGGAGCCCCGCCCGCTGCCCTCCCGTGGGAGACGGCACGTACTGAACCTGCAGGTGCTGACGTTCTGAATTCCAGACTCCAGGCATGGGCAGAAGCCCTCGTTGGGCGGGTAGACAGAGCCGTTGGCGAATAAGGTGCTGGGGGCCACGAAGCGATAGGTGGGGATGCCTTGGAACGTCCCCGACTCCTTGTAGATTAGTTTCATGGACCTGCAGGGACAGATTGGGGCGGGGGGCGGGGGGTGACCTCGGGAACCGGGCCGAGAGACCGTCCTATTGAAGGTAAGCCCAGCCGAGCCACTTCTCCCCGCCGGTGCTGCCAGCCCCCGGGTCCCCGCAGCCACCAGCTCTCCCCCCACCCCGGGGAACTGCCGACAGCCTGCTATTTGCTCTCCCCACCTCCCTGCCCACACTCGTCTGTTCCCCGAGAGCAGGTGGCGCTTTAAAACGAGAACACTTAAAAGGGCAATGGCTTCCCGTCTCATCTATAATAAGATCTGTCATCCTCACCGCGGCTCAACAGATTCTATGAGGTCCAGCCTCGGGCTGCCCTGTATTGTACCCCACGAGCCTCCTGGCGATTGCTCAGACATCCTTCCTCCTGCCCCCGGGCCTTTGCATCTGCTGCCCTATCTGCCCCTCCCTCGATGCTCACACATCAGACTACAGTTCTCCACATGGGTGGCGATTCAGCGGCCACCTCCACAGGCTGCAGCAGCACACCCCTCATCCTATTAACCCTGCTCTATTCCACTTCTAAGCATGAACAGGGTCTTCAGATTATAACCGTCCTGCCTCCCTGCTGTCCACGGAGACCCTTGGACAGGGCGACGCTGGGTGGGATGCACTGTAAGCATAAAACACGTTCCAGATTTCTACAGCTTGATACAAAAAAAAAAAAAAAGTAAAACATCTCAGTAACAGTGGACATTGTTTACACACCGAAATGGTAATATTTTGGATACCGTGGGTCAAATAAAACCTATCATTAAAATCAACTTCACCTACTTCTTGTTACTTTTTTTAACATGGCCACTAGAAAATTTAAGAGTATAGACAGGACTGACACCGTGTTGTGACTGGACAGCACCGGCCCAGACAAGGGTGCTGGTGATGGAAATGTGGTTGCGCAACAAGACACCCTTGTTTTTAGAAAACACCCACTAAAGTATTGAGATGGCCAACGTACTCCCCAAAGGTCTGGGGACAGAGCGCACAGGGCCAAAGAGAACTCCCAAAACTGAGTGAAATGGCTTGCTCTTGCCACTCTTCTCTGGGATGAAATTTCCAATTTTAAAAAGTGAACATACACACAGCACAGGCCTTCAGGCTCTCTGACACTGCCCCACGGTGTGTCTGCCTGAGTCCCCCTGCCAGAATATAAGTCCCCCAGGAACAGCAACTGGGCCCATCCCATCTCTGCCTAATGCAGCAGGTGCCACAGAGGTCTGCTGGGAAGGCAGAGGAGTCCAAGTTCACATCAGTAACTCTCAAGTAAAGGATTTTTCCAGAGTGGCCTGAATGGGGCAGAGTGCCAGGCAGTGGCCAGAGGTGGGTCCTAGGGTCCACTGTCTCTTCTCACCTACACTGGGGCCCCTGGAAGCCACTACCCCAAGCAAGCCTCTGAGGCCATAGTCTAGAGCCTGCAGGGGCCATAGGGGAGGCATCTAGATGTCTCAGCATCCAGATGGACATGAGGGAAGCCAGAGAGAAGCCACAGGGAGCCCATGCTCACCTAATCCCAGCCCTCTACGACCTGATGGTTTCCTGCTGCTGCCACTGCCACCGCCACCGCCACCACCGCACCAAGCACTGCATGGCCAGCAGCCTCTCTGGGGCCTGCCAAAGCACCACAAGCGCTTTGGCTTTTCATGACGTAACCTAGGAGAACTCAAGACAGTGCTGAGGGCCGACAGAGCCAAACTGCTTCCCAAATGCACGCCAAAAGCCACTCAATTAGGCTGTGAGCGCCCACAAAGCTGATTTCCGCTGCCTGTGAGGCCCAGCAGGCCCCAGAACATTCCAGCAATTACCGGCAGGCCTCAGGGCTGTAGAATTCCAGCGAGGTCTCAGGAGTCATAAACGGCGCCCACATCTGTCCCGAAGTCCCGTTGATCATGTTGCACTGATCAGAATGCCAGAAGTTGACCTGCAGGGAAGTGTTCAGACCTGGCTCTCAGAAATGCCCTCCTGGGTGCTGCACACCCAAAGTGGGGTGGTGACTGCACAGACCGGGGTCCCAGAGTGAACATGACCACTCAGTCCCAGAAGCCAGTTCCCTCAGGGAAACAGGCCAGCAGCGTGGGAGGCAAGAGAGGGCAGTGCACACAGACAGCCAGGAGCATCGACCTCAGCCCCTCACTAATGTGGAACCCTGAATGTGCTGGGAACTCAGTAACTTCGTCTGTAAAATCACCCCCATCTCCAAGGGGCACTGTGGGCAGCAGAGGTGGCATCCTCACCTCTCAAGGAGGGAGTCACTAGACACTTCCTAAAAACAGATAAGGGGAGGGTACCTGGGGGGCTCAGTGGGTTAGGCGTCTGCCTTCAGCTCAGGTCACGATCCTGGGGTCCTGGGATCGATCCCCGCATCGGGCTTTCTGCTCAGGGGGAGTTGGCTTCTCCCTCTCCCTCTGCCCTTCCCCCACTCATGTTCTCTCCCTCTCAAATATCTTTAAAAATAATAATTAAAAACAGATACAGCAAAGAGGTGACACAGGAAGAAATATATTTAAAATCATAATGATGGCCACCCCGGGGACTGTGGGGTGGGGGGAGCTCTCAAAACAGTAGTTCCCTCTGGAAAGTGAGTCTTGGAAGAAAACCACAGACTTCTCACTTTCTGCACCCCTCCCCCTGCCATCAGAGCAAGTTTGGTCATGTCCCCACACATATCTGTGCAATGAAAAAAAAAGCCAGAGAGGTCGAAGAGGCTCCCCCGGGAATGGTTATTGCCGGCTGCAAATGGCGAGCTGGCCACTCTGTGCACAGCTGGGGGTGTCACTGGGCCCCGGAGCCCCGGTCTTGGCAGCGGCCACCGTAGTGAGCGCTCCGTAGCTACCAGCAGCACCGTGTACTGTCACTCACGTGCAAGCATCACGAGAAAAAGCTTAAACTAAGGTGGAAAACAGCAAGCTGTGGAACAGTGCACGTGGAATGATTTCATCATGTTCAAAGAAGCAGCAAACCCACCATGTGTCTATGCACACACACACGGGCGTGGAACGGGTCCCAGCGGGCAGGATTCCATACCCACCACTGCCCACCACTGGGTTCCCTCTGTGCGCCAGGGAGCAGGATGGCCGGTGTGAGGCATGGTGCAAAGGGGACATGAGATCGGTCCCTCTTGTTTTGTTTTTTTAATGTGAACGTCTTCCTGTGTTTCAAGTGTGATTTTTCTTTTAACTCAATAATATCTTCTAATGCAATGGCTGGTTACAACATCAGTGTGTTACCTTAGAGGTATTTTGTAAATTAGGAACAGAAGGAAAGTAATAACTCACTTCCTGGTACCCACTAGGTGCTAACTAAGTAGAGTTTCCATCCCCCACCCATCCATCCAGATGATGAGCTAGTCCAGCCTTAACCACGGGGGATGCCCCGCCTCCGGGAGCTTCTCCATCACAGATGTGACCACCCTCCAGAGTGGCCCTGCCCTCACCTTGCTGAGCCCATTCCACTTGTCCACAAGGTGGATCCTGCTGAAGTCTTTGACCCCCGTGAACACGGTGAAGATCCCAGAATCAGAATTGTTCAGCTGTGGATAACAACAGAGAACACCACCCTTAAACCTCAGGACAGGGGCAAAGGCCCTGGGGCCCGGCCCTCAAGCCCACCCGTTCACTTAGAGGCCATTCCCCGCTGCACCCAGAGGACAGAGGCCTTGATACCTTGTTCAGTGCTGCATCTCCAGGGCCTGAGGACCAAGAAGAGGAAGGCTTTCTAGAAGGGGCACTCCCTTGAAAGCATCCCCATCTTCCTTTCCCAACTCACGGAGAGTCTCCTTCTCCCAGGTGAATAGCAGAATGACCACCTCACCCTCCTCCCCAACTTAAAATAAAGCATGGTCATGTGACCTCTTCAGTCAATGAGACAGAAGTAGATGGGGCGGGGGGGGGGGGGGGGCATGCCCTTTCCAGGGTGGAAGCTTTAGGAGCTCAGGCATGCTTTTGTCACCCTGCTTTCTGCTGCTGCGTAGGGGTCGTGCAAGTATGTCTAGTTGTGACCTCCCTCAGTCTGAGTCCCTGAGTGGCCACAAAGAACAGAGAGCCTCCTGGTCACCCACACTGACACAGCATATGAACCAGGATCAAGCCACTGACATTCTGGGGCTGCTTACTCCACAGCATGACCTGGTCCCTCCTAGTGGATTTAGGATCCTACACTTACTGAACATGTTTTAGATAGTAAGGCCCAGGCTTTGGCACTGAGGTTCTTCCCTACAAAACACATGTCTAATTTACTGCAAGACACACAAAGCAGGTGCCTGGGTGGCTCAGTGGTTGAGCGTCTGCCTTCAGCTCAGGTCGTGATCCCGGGATCCTGGGATCGAGTCCTGCATCGGGCTCCCCACAGGGAGCCTGCTTCTCCCTCTGCCTATGGCTCTGCCTCTCTCTGTGTGACACATTAGAGACACATAAAAAAATACCAAGAGGGCAGCCCTGGTGGTGCAGTGGTTTAGCGCAGCGTGGTCCTGGAGACCCGGGATCAAGTCCCACATCGGGCTTCCACATCGGGCTTCCTGCACGGAGTCTGCTTCTCCCTCCGCCTGTGTCTCTGCCTCTCTCTTTGCTCTCTCTGAATGAATGAATAAATAAATCTTAAGAAAAAAAAGATACCAAGAAATGAGTGACTGCGGGGCGAAATCTAGAAGCGCCGATTCCCTGAGACCCAGGCGGCTCCCTCCGTGTAACATGTAACGCGTAACGGAATACACAGTAAGAATTCAATAGGGTTGTTTACCAGCTGAGTGGCTAAATCAATGACTAGTTAGGCAAACAGGCTCCAGGGCAGGGCCCGGTCTAAAGCCCTGCTCTGGCCTCCTAAGATCTGAGTCATGTCACCCATTCATTCTGAGCTTCATGAGCCTAGACCTAAACCATTAGGAGGGAAGAACAGGAGCCCTGAGACACTGGGAGTGCGAAGAGAGCAAATGTATACACACAGTTAAGTGGCGCCTGAAAAACAGTAGGAGCTCCAAATGCTAGTCTTTATTATTATTGTTCTTAACAAAGGCTCCCCCAAAAGGACCCTAGAAGAATAATCATTATAGACAAAGTATATCAGAGACTGACACTTAGTACCCAAAGTCTATTGCTCCCCTTTCCCCTTTGTAACAAAACCCAAACCTTACTCAGGACATCAGCACAGCAGCTAAAAGGCTACATTTCCCAGCTTCCCTTGCAGCGAGGTGTGGCCCCTTGACTAAATTCTGGCCAAAGGAATGTAAGTAGAAATTGGTTTTCTCCCTCCCAAAGACGGAGACAGCTGGTGCATGCTGTTTTGTCCTCAACTCCCCTGCCTGCCTCTCCATCCCCAACCACTTCTTTCCTTCCTCTTATGCTTCCTGGGATGTGGTAGCTGGTGCTCTAGCAGCCATTTTGGGCCATGTGGTAATCTGGAGTATGAGAATCACACTGTAAGGATGACAGAGCAAAGAATTCTAGATCCCCAGAGGATATGAAGACACCACATCAACACTAAACAGTCACTGCTGGAATGTTATTTTGGGGTTTCCATATACACAAATATATATTACAGGGATGCTACTCACTTTGTAATAATTTTCATTCATTCACAAGTTTGCAAGATGTTTTCAAAGGAATCATGTCACTTACTCCAAACTTGCCAACTTACCCACACACTCAGAACCTGTCATCCTGGTTAAAAACGTGTTAAGTGTCTATCACATGCCAGGTACAGGATCACAATTTCTCCCTCCCGCTTTCCCCAAGACAGATCAGCAGAGCCCAAAGGGGAGGCTGAGTCTGGAGCAACCCAGAGGGCTCGTTAAAACCTATGGCAGAGGGAGCCGCAGTCCGAAGTCAGACTCTGCATCAGATCACAGCTCAGGCACCCAATCACTACCAGGTGACGGGGGTCAAGATAAAGAAAAAAGCAGGCAGCTGAGAGCAACGTCGTAGTCAGCATTTGGGACCTGCCTCCCCAGCAGCCACTCCTTCTCCTGGCAGCAGCCCTCAGCTGTCCATGCCCAGCCCAATCACATCATCTCAACCTGATCAAGCTGCACCTAAATCAATGCCTAGGGTTTTCAGGTATATAAACCAATTGATTCTCTATTTCTAGGGCACCCGTGGCTCAGTGGTTGAGCATCTGCCTTCGGCTCAGGTCGTGATCTCAGGGCCCCGGGATTGAGTCCCACGTCGGGCTCCCCACAGAGAGACTGCTTCTCCTTCTGCCTATGTTTCTCCCTCTGTGTCTCTCATGAATAAATAAATAAAATCTTAAAACAAAAACAAATTCTCTATTTGTCTTACGCCAGTTTGAGTTAGGTCTTCTGCCATTTGCAACCCACTGTCCCCAGGTCCCCAGCCAGGCTGTCAATGGAGAACAAGACACAGGCCCCGAACTCGTCACTGGGCCACACTTACCTCTGCAAATAGCCCAAACTTGCCCTTGAAGGGTAACATGTTTGGGAGGTACTTGTTGATGAGGTGTATGAGGGGGTCCTCATAGCCCCACATGATCTCGCCTATGGTGCGGTTCATGAAGGCACGCTCCCCAAGGGTGCTGAACGCCAAAGTCATGATCAGCTTCAGGCTCATGGGCTTATCTTCCATCATCATCGCCGCAGCCTACAGAGCAAGGGGACACTGCAGGTTACAGGCTAGACACAACTGGTCCACACACCCCTGACTTGAGGTCAGGCCTGAGGCAGGGTTCATCAACGGGAATGAACTTCGGGCCCAGGAAGGTGCCTGCAGCAGATGTGTAGGGTGTCTGGGGCATCCAGAACCATCCTCTCTAATCCTCCAGTAACAGGACCACCTGTGTTACGAGATTCAGGAGAAGTTAACTCCATCCTCAGTCCCAGAGGCAGGCACATGGCAGGGGCCTGGTTTGAGAATGTGTACAGGGCCCAATCAGAGCTACAAGAAGTGGGAAACTTCCATGGGGGCTGTCGGATAGAAGGGAGAGCTTCCTAGTCCCTCCTTGAAGGCCATAATCACCCTAAGGGGCAGGTCTGCCAGAGCAGGGCACCAACCCAATCTGGGCAACCCAATCTGCACCCTAGATCAAGTCATACCTGAAACCAGCCAACCTCTGCCTTTTTTGTAACATGAGCCCATAGATTCCCTTTTTGCTCATGACGGTTTGGAGCATCTTTTACTATCCCCTTGTATCCAAAAGAATCTTAATTAAGACTCTACTCCACTTCCTTATAGCTCCCTCCCAAATGCCAAGAGTCCCAAAGATCTGCTCTACCCAATATCTAGGTGCTTAGAATGCAGACGAATTTATTTTTTAATTTCTGTTCTCCTCTGGAGATATTGTCTTGGCACTTGGTTTATTTTTTTAAGGCACCTCATCCCAAGGTAAGAAAGTGAACACAGCCAGCATTTCCTAAAACGTGGGCCAAAGAGGTTGGGTTCCTTGGGAACTCACCAGGATCTCCTTACCATTATAATAATCTTTGAAAGGTAATAAACACAGGATTTTTTAAAATCACAAAAGGATATATAGCACACAACCCTGTCCAACCCCTGACCTTCCCCTTCCCATTCTTCTCCTCCAAGGCTGCCCACTGCTATCAGTTCTTGAGTATTCCTCCAGAGACATCCACAACCAGAGACCAGCACACTATGGTCCATGGGCCAAAGCCAGCCCACCACCTGTTTCTGTACAGTCTGAAAGTTAAGAATTTTTTTTTTATATTTTCAAATAGTTGGGGAAAAAACAAATATTCAAAAAAACCCATGAAAATTATATGAAACTCACCTTTGGTGCCCATGAAATAAAGTTTTATTGGAACACAGCCATGCCTACTCATTCATGTTGTCTTTGGCTCCTCTTGCGTTAGCAGGCCGAGCTGAGTAGTTCCAACAGAGACCACGTGGCCCTCAAAGCCTAAATATCTACTATCTGGCCCTTTACAGAAGAAGTTTGCCCACCCTGCTCGAAACATATAAAGAAAAAGCATATGTGTGTAAGTGGGCGTGTGTGTGCAAGTATTTCTCCTTTATAAATAATAAGCGGTGGCACCGTGTGTGGGTTCTGCACCTTGCCTCTCCCTCACTTCAGTGTACTTTGGGGACTGCTCCGCACCACTGCCCGCGGCCCTGCCTCCTACTGCTGGCTGCGTCCTCAGGCACTGCCTGGCCGCAATAAATTCCCACAGTGAAACACGATGGAACAATATTTAGGTTGTTTCTAGAAGTGTGCTCTGACAATATTGCCACAATGTCTACCCTTGAGTGCAAACATCTTTTCTCTGTGTTATCCTCTCAAGAGGACACGGCCCTAGAAAGGAAATTTTTTTTTTTTTTAATTTATGATAGTCACAGAGAGAGAGAGAGAGGCAGAGACACAGGCAGAGGGAGAAGCAGGCTCCATGCACCGGGAGCCTGATGTGGGATTCGATCCCGGGTCTCCAGGATCACGCCCTGGGCCAAAGGCAGGCACTAAACCACTGAGCCACCCAGGGATCCCTAAAGTCACCATCTTCCAACAGCTCATACCGGTTCTGTTCTTCATGACTATGTGAGACTGTCCATTTCCACAAATACTCACAAACCCTGGGGCACTATCACACAGGCATTGCCAACCTGGTCGGTGGGGGGAAGGTGCCTTCACTGCCAAAAATGAAGGATGGCCTGGGGGTGGGGAGGAATGGGGAGGCACCTATTCTTCTGTCCTGTCCAGCCAATGGATTCAGCAGGCGAGCTCACCTCAGATCCAGAGCCCGGCCCAGCGCCAGCCTTGGGACCACCGGCAAGGAAACAAGGGAATGTGTGTTAGGCCCATAAACCCTGAGTGAGTGCTAGCAGAAAGTGAACACAATAGGCCTGAGGCTTCTGTCTCTCTAGAAAGGCCCGCCCCCAAGGTTGGCCCATGGCTGGCGCCTGGGAACTTGGGTTTCGAGGGGGCTCCCAGGACTCCCTGACTGATGCGGGGCTTGTGGTGTCGGGACTGTGTGTACAAACAGTGTGCTTCACGCTGACCACCTGGGGATCTGAATCTTGGGAGGAGCCAGGCAGAAGGGGCCTGCGTGACCAGCCCCCAATAAAAGCCCTGGGCACAGAGTCTCTAGTGTTTTCCTTGGCAACAACCCTTCACAGGTGCCACCACAACTCGTTGCTGGGGGAACGAAGGGTGGCCTGTGTGGCTCCCCTGGGACAGCTCATGGAGGCTGGATGCTGGTCTCCACGCCATGCGCTTTTTCTTCCCTTTGCTGCCTTTGCCCTGCTGCCTTTGCCCTTCTGCTGTAACGAATCACAGACGAGAGTGGGACAGCGCGCTGAGTCCTGTGAGCCCCCCAGGGAGGCAGCAAGCCTGGAGGGGGTCTCGGGGACCTTGGCACACCATGGCTAATGGTTAGTGAATCCAGCTACGGCTAGGGTTCTCACCTGCAGAGAACAAAGGCCCTGTCTGCAAATGCTGCAGAAGAGGACATGGCCTGCGGGGGCCCCATGAAGTCCCCCACCAGGACCTCCCTGTGAAGATTCTAGATTTGTAGAGAGAGAAGGGAAAGACAAGGACTTTGGCTGACACCCCCAAACCAGAGCAGAAGGATGTGCCTGGGAAACTCAGCGGGCGGCAAGCCGGGACCCAAGAGCCACAGGCTGTACCCCCCCCAACCCTAACACTGAGCGCCAGCCCGGGCAGGGGGAGGGGGCAGGCGAGAAGAGAGATGGAAGCCCTTGGGGGCAGAGATGAGGGCTGGGGCCAGGGGCGCGGCCGGGGGGGGGCAGCCTTACCAAGACCAGGATGTTGGGCATGACGATATAGTCGCTCTCTAAGCCATGGGATTTGTCAGGCTGGAACTGGAAGCTGCGATACTCAAGGAATGACACTGTGTCATTGTCATTGAAGGTGATGTTGCTCTTGTGTCTGAACTCCCTGTGGGCAGGGAAGTCGGTGGTCAGCAGGCCCTCGCAGCACAGGGACAGGGCGCTTGCCAGGAGCCCCCCAAAGAGCACCCCAATCCCAACATGCTCCTCCCCCAGGCCAAGCACCACATCCTTCACAGACTCCCCAGTGCATGCGTGCACCTGCTTCTCCGAGGGAGATCGGTAGCACAGTGGTTAGGAATGTGCACTCTGAAGCCAGAGGGCCCAGGCTCTAATCCTGTTTCCATTACTCACTTCCAGGGCCTCTGTTTTTCCATCTATAAAATGGGGGTGATAACCAGACCCACTTCACAGGGCTGTGGTGAGCACGGAGTGGGTCAGTGCACGTTAAGTATCAGCTGCATTACATGCTCTTGCTCTGCAATCCATTCTCCACAAAGTAGCCAGAGAATCTTTGAAAAGTAGAAGTCAGATCATGTCCTCCTCTCCCCAACAACTCTCCCTTGTATACTGGATAAAATCGAGCTCCTAAGGTGGCCTCCGAGATCCCCACACCTGACCCCGTCCGATGCCTGGGCCTCACCTCTGCCACTCTTCCCCTCACTCATACCACACCAGCCACTCAGGCCTTCTCCTTTCCGGACTACCAGACTCTGCCTGACTCAGGGCCCTTGCACTGGCTGCCGCCTCTGCCTGGGGCCCTCTTCCCCCTACATTTTCACACGGTGGCACCCCGTTCTCACCACCCACGTTCAGGGAAGTGTCCCCTTGACAGAGGTCCTCCCTGACTCTCCAGTTAGACCAACTCTGTCCATGCCCCTCCCTCCAGCACTCTCCATGCTTCACCTTCCTTGCTCTCACCACACTTACGATCACCTGATTTGTTCACATGATTACTCTCTCCCATGTCAGCTCTGTCAGGCAGGAGCTTGGATCTGCCTTTCACAGCGACTGGCACAGTGCCTAGTACACAGGAGGTGCTCAGTATATGCTTCCAGAATGAAGGAATGAACATGAACTTTGGCAAACCAACACAGAAGCCTTCCATGAACAAGCTCCGCCGGGATGGCAGTTCTGCAACGGGGTTCATCCCAGAAAGCAGGATGGGCGGGAGCCTGGAATCAGGCCTTATACCAGAACAGTCCTCCCTCATCTCTCGGAAAACTGCTCCAGCCGATTCAACAAGCTGCGCTCTCCCAAAGACGTGACCAAGCGAAGAGGCCATGGCAGCAGTGGTAATAATGTGCTGGCAAGGAACGTTTACTGGGCACGTACTGCATACCAAGCCCTGTGCTAAGGGCGCCCCACTTTCTCATCCACTCCTCATAATGCCCCCTCCCATGGTGGAGACTGTCATCCTCATTTTACAGATGGAGAAACTGAGGCACGGGGAAGACATGCCCTTTGCCTGACTGCAGGAGGTTGCTCTCCAGAGTGCCAGGTCTTGACCACCAGAACACCAGCTTGGGGGAAGCAGACTGACTTTGTGCAAACCCCTCCACAAGTAGGGGCCTCGGTTTCTTTTTCTGTAAAGTGGGGAAATGACCCCCAACCCTACAAAGACTACCCGCCTGGGAGACCCAGTCCACCCCAGTTCAGCCCCCTCCATTCTCACCTGTACACGTAGGGCCCGCGCTCCCGCACCTGCGGCTTCTGCCCCAGGAGGACTGCATCGGGGTTGACAACGTCGAAGAAGTAGACGGACAGGTAGAAGGGGACAGGGATCTCCTTCCACATGTTGAAGGACAGGCTATTGGGGTCGATGCGCACATTCTGCAGGGGGGGAGCAAAACAAACAGGGCCGTGAGGAGGGTGTGTGGGGGCCCCCGCCAGGGCTGCCCAGAGCCAGCCTGCGTGGCCAGGCCCCGCCAGTGCATCCGGGAGGTGGCTCCTGGGTGGCGGGGAAGCTCTGCACACGCGCTGCTCCAGAGTGTCAGTTCACGGCCAATGTATTCCTGCTGCTACTTTTTAAAATGTGTTTTAGGGATCCCTGGGTGGCGCAGCGGTTTGGCGCCTGCCTTTGGCCCAGGGCGCGATCCTGGAGACCCAGGATCGAATCCCACATCGGGCTCCCGGTGCATGGAGCCTGCTTCTCCCTCTGCCTCTGTCTCTGCCTCTCTCTCTCTCTGTGACTATCATAAATAAATAAAAATTAAAAAAAAAAATAAAATGTGTTTTAGTAACAGAAGCCTGATCAGAGATCAGGAGATAGCTGCAGCCAGACTGCGGGATTATGGGCTCCCTGTGGCCAAGCGCATCATTCATTCACTCTACGGAGCATCTACTACATGCCAGGCATGTTTCTAAGGGCTGGGGATAAATGAGTGAACGAGACAGACCCCAATCCCAACTCTGTGGTGTCTTTAATCTAGCAGGTATTTTTTTTTAAAGATTTATTTATTTATTCATGATAGACACATAGAGAGAGAGGTGGAGACACAGGCAGAGGGAGAAGCAGGCTCCATGCAAGGAGCCCGATGTGGGACTCGATCCTGGGACTCCAGGACCATGCCCTGGGCCGAAGGCAGGCGCCAAACAGCTGAGCCACCCAGGGATCCCCTAATCTAGCAGGTATTAAACAAGAAGGCACAACATGTACTGTGTGAGAGGCAGGGCGTGGGGAAGAAGATTGCAACTTTACACAGTAGTCACACAAGCAAAACACAAGCAAAAACAACAAAATAAAAACAAAAGGCAGTGAGGGGAACACATGGATTTGGCGGGGCGGGGGTGGGGGTGGTAATTCCACATAGAAGCAAGGCCAGTGCAAAGGCCCTGAGGCAGGGAGGTGCCAAGACAGAGCCAAAGAAAACAGGTCTGCAGCTTGTCTGTCAGATACACAGATACACTGGCCTCTAATCCCTGCCTTGCTCCTCAGCTCTACAAGGCCCTGCTGCAGTGTCACAAGGAGGTTCCCTCTCATACCACCCAATCCCCCCCAACATGGCCGGCCACATCATGGGCCCCACAAGGCTCAGAGTCTGGGTCTGACACAGTGACCCAGGCCATCAGATAGATACCTGATACCACAAAGCTAAGCATGCTGGGTAGCAAGCACCACCTTCCATGTTCCTTTGAACATGGCCTTCCAGGACAAGGAAGCCACCTCTACTGTCCCCAAATAGCCAAAACCAACGGGCAGAGAGACTCCAGAGGAGGTGGAAGGCAGGAGCTGGCTGGTCAGGCCCAGCCCCATGTCCCCAACCAGCAGACTCTGGGAAGGAACAAATAAGGAAGTAGCCAGATCCCAGGGCCACAGGGGCAAGATGGTCACCTCCTGAGCCTCAGTTTCCCCATCTGTACAATGGAAACCAATGACTCTGTAGCCTCAGCCATATCTCACTTCCAACATGATGCTTAAGTGAAGAAAAGTTGAATTAATTGCCAAGAATAAAAAACTGGAAGATTTCACATAAAATCTGGAGTTTTGGGGGGTATAATAATCATTTATTTGCTAAACACATCTTCCTACCAGCCATGGAAGCCACAGGATCATTTTTATATCCAGAGCATCTAACATATACAAATCAAGGTGACTCATAAACATCATTTGGACAAAGCAACAAAGACTCTGTGGACTCTCCCTATTGTTTCTATACCAACAATTTTTTTTTTCAAGATCAAACACACCCAGGGCCCAATCGAATGCACACCTTCAGGCCATAGTTGGGACACGGGCCACCCCTTTGCCACGCCTGTTGCAGCACATCGCCAGCATCATCAACTGGAAGAGGGTGACCTCCCCATGTTTCTTTCTTTTTTTTTTTTTTTAAGATTTTATTTATTTATTCATGAGAGGCCCAAAGAGAGAGAGAGAGAGGCAGAGACACAGGCAGAGGGAGAAGCAGGCTCCATACAGGGAGCCCGATGTGGGACTCGATCCTGGGACTCCAGGACCATGCCCTGGACCGAAGGCAGACGCCAAACCGCTGAGCCACCCAGGGATCCCCTTCCCCATTTTTCTAATGGGGAAACGGAGGCCTGCAATGGTTGGGTGGCTCTCCCCAGGCCCCAAACAGCAGGTCTGACAGCAGAGGTGACCCTCCCAGACCCTGGGGACACGGGCTTGGCGAGTGGAATTCATCCTCAGGTGAGCAGCTGCTGGGCTGGCATGGGGTCCACCCAGGATGGAAACTCTGAAATCTTTAACAGGCCCAAAGGGAGGAGTAAGAGGGAGCTAGTCCCGTCATGCCCTCTCCGCCATAGCCTCCCCAGAGAAAAGACACTCACAGCGCTAGTAACTGAAGGTCCCTGCGTGGCCCGGCTTCCGCCAGGACACTCCAAGAGAAAACACATCAGACCCAGTTCCTTCTTCTTCTGTGTGTGTGTGTGTGTGAGAGAGAGAGAGAGAGAGAGAAAAATATGTAACATAAGACCTACCCTCTTAGCAAATATTTAAGTGTAGGATGCAGTCTTTTTTTTTTTTTTTAAGATTTATTTATGATAGACACAGCGAGAGAAAGAGAGGCAGAGACACAGGCAGAGGGAGAAGCAGCCTCCATGCAGGGAGCCCGACATGGGACTTGATCCCGGGTCTCCAGGATCATGCCCCGGTGCAAAGGCAGGCGCTAAACCACTGAGCCACCCAGGGATCCCCCTGGATGCGGTCTTCTTCTTTTTTTTTTTTTTTAATTTTTTATTTATTTTTGATAGTCACAGAGAGAGAGAGAGGGGCAGAGACACAGGCAGAGGGAGAAGCAGGCTCCATGCACCGGGAGTCCGATGTGGGATTCGATCCCGGGTCTCCAGGATCGCGCCCTGGGCCAAAGGCAGGCGCCAAACCGCTGCGCCACCCAGGGATCCCCCTGGATGCGGTCTTCTTAACTGGAGACACAATGGTGTACAGTAGGCAGGTCTCCAGGCTTACTCGTCTTGCATAACTAAAGCAATAATAACAATCACATAGAAAGTTTTGGAGGTGACAGATATCTTTATGCATAAGTTGTGGTGATGGTTTCAAGGGTGTATACTTATCTGCAAACTCATCAAGTTGTATACATTAAATATCTACATTTTCAAAAAAAATATATCATACCTCAACTAAGTGGTTTTTAAAAAGACAGTTTCCTGGGGTGCCTGGGTAGCTCAGGCAGTTGAGCGTCTGACTCTTGGTTTCGGTTCAGGTTGTGATCTCAGGGTCATGAGATGGGGCCCTGTGTCCAGCTGTGTTCGGCGTGGAGCCTGCTTAGGATCCTCTCTCTCCCTCTCCCCCTGCCCCATGAGTGCATGCACACTCCCTCTCTCCCTCTCTCTAAATATAAATAAAAATTTTTAAATAAATAAATAGAATAAAATAAAATAAAATAGTTTCTGGTTCCTGCCTCGCTCCCCAGCCCTGTTGCTCATCTGGACCCGGAGAAGTTTTCAGAACTCCAGAATCCCTCAGCCACTGTCCAGCTCACTCTGCTTTGGGGACAAATCACAGCCAAAGAAATGAGTGACCAGATAAAGCCACATGTCCCCCCTCTCTCTCCAACAAAAGGGTGCTCCGGGCTCTGGGGCACTGGCTCGCAGTGAGTATTCGATGACCCAGCTCTGCCTTCTGGCTGGGTGACAGTGGATAAGTCACTGCTCCTCCGTGAGCCTCAATCTCTTCAATGCTAGGGTTTACCTCGCAGAGCCGCTGTGAGGTTTTACGTGAATTTATCCAGGTAAAATGCTTGAACAGGGTATAGCCGAGCCCCAGCGACTGGAAGGTCAGCCAGGTAGCGACCGCCTCGTCTTGTCCTCCTCCCCATCACTGTCACCGCCCCACCCCCACCCACAGCTGGGGACAGACTTTGCACTGGTTTTGATCGGCATCAGAGCGGAGGCAACTGGACCAAGCGGCTGATTAGATAGCAGTGCTGGCCAAGCTCACGGCCTTTCACCTGATGTGGCCGATTCTATCCCCACCCCTTCCCCCAAGGTCAAAGACCACAGCCCAGAGTACAAAGACTGGAATAGAAGACACCACTGCCTCTCATCCAACCAGACCCTCCGAGCCCGTTCCTGGACAGTCAGCGAGGCTGCCCGGAAGAGGGAACATGAGAGCAGAGTCCTGAAAAAGAGTGAGTTGGACTTTGCCAGGGAAGAGGACGGGGAGGGCATTCCTGGAGGGGCCACAGCCTGTATACAGGCTCTCAAGCCTTTGGAGCATGACTACTTTAATGCCCATCTATAATGAATATGTTTCCAAAACATATTTTAATACTCAAGAAGTGTCCATCAACAGATAAATGAACTGCCACATACGCAAACAACGAAGCACCACTTGATCACAAGCAGGAACCGCCGACCCACCGTCCGCCACACCGATGAACCTCCAGAGCGCATGTTAAGTAACAAAAGCCAGATGCAAAAAGCGACCCACAGTATGATTCCATTTCCGGGACAGCTGGAAAAAGGAAAACATTCAGGACAGAAGCCAGATCAGTGGTTGCCAGAGCTTGGGTGCAGGTAGGGGACCAACTGCAAAACAGCATCAAGATACTACGCGGGGGTCACGAACACAACCCATCTCTTAATTTCAGGTGCCACACAGGCGAGGTGTACACATCTGATAAAACTCAGCGGGCCGCACACCTAAAAGGATGAACGTATGGGCGTACCATGAAAACATTATGCTGGCATTTCTTGATGCTTTTTTTTTTCTTGATGCTTTAATGGTTTGTGATTCACGTACAAGTCACCCACTCAGTGTCTAATTCAGTGGCTTAGATGTATGCACAGAATTGTGCCAACACCACCACTGTCTATGCCCAGTACATATTCATCACCCAAAACAAAACCCT